ATGCTTCCTACTTGTTTCCTTTTCAGTTTCTGTAGAAAATAGTGTGTGTGTGTGTGCGTGCGTGCGTGCGTGCGTGCGTGCGTGCGTGTGTGTGTGTGTGTGTGTGTGTGTGTGTGTGTGTGTGTGTGTATAAGCAGTACAGGGAAAAAGAGGCTGACTTAAGGAGAGTGTCATATGAAATAAAAAACCCAGTGTTTAACTTTGGGGAATGTACCTGAGTGAACAGGTATGTTCAAGCACGAATCCATTAATGGATAGGTGTTAACTGTATGATAACTGCTTTCTAACAGGTTAGCATATAATTTATGAGGGTACTTCAAGTTTTCTGTCTTAAGCTTTCTTTTTTATTATCACTTCTGCCAAGTTAAAGCCATTAATAATCATGTATAGAAGATAAAAGTCAGGGGTCTCACAAGCATAGGAGCAATGTTTGATAGAACCGTATTGTGAGCCATAAACGTGAACCACAAATGTAATTTTATAGCTTCTAGTAGCTGAATTGAAAAAGCATAAAGGGTGGAATTAATAGAGTTGAGTGAACCCAGTATACCCAAAATATCATCATTTCAGTTTGCAATCACTATAAATATTGAGACACTTTTCCTTTTTGTCTGTAAACCTTCGAATTCCAGTGTATATTCTATACCTTAGATATATTTGAGTGTACAGGAGCTACATGTAGGTCGACTAGTGGATTGGAAAGGGCAGAGCTGTCATCACATTCTTCTTCCCAGTCTGGATAAGATCTTCCTACAGCTTCTATCATTTTTATTATTCTGAAAGAAAATGGAAACAGAACACTCCAGGTTATATGAGTATGCAATATTTCCCAGCTGCAGCACAGTAGTACCAAACTCTGCCCTGTGAGAAAACAGATTCTATGATTAAATAAGTTAGTATAATTCTGTTCTTTACCCTCTTATGAAGATTACATTACAGACTCTGAGTAAACTCAGCCCCAGTGAAGAACTCTGAATTACTGAGTTCTGCATCTATAAGAATTCTAGAAATGTACCTAGATGTTTCTAGGTGAGAACATTTTTGTTTTTTTTCCTCTCTTTACTCTTTTAGGAATTCATTTCTACTTAGCTTTGTATTTGGATCATCCAAAATTCACAATTATCTTTTGTTTCAGAGCAACCTCTTACTGAGTTAAAATCAGCAGATAGTTTTAAGTTTTACACATAGACAAATATCTTCAGAAAGGTCCCAAATATGCACCTTCTTCTTACAGTTTCAAAAATGATGACTGGTCAGGTTTGGGGACATTGTTCAAGACGTAGAGTATCTGATGTCTATCGAGTGCTTAGTTCAAACTCCAGTAACATCAACCCACAAAAAAATCAAAGACTATTGCCTCCAGAGCTGCAGTATATTTAGGGCTGAAGGCATGGCTAAAGGGGTAGAACACCAGCCTAACAAGTGTCAGGCCCTGAGTTCAACCCTCCCCCCACCAAAAAAATATCAACACTCTAAAATGATGATGGAAGAAATATCTGAATGTGTAGATGTGTAAACACAGAATTCATACATGTAGAGTAATATCATTCTGATGATGCTTTGTTTTTATATTCTATGTGTGGTGTTATGCTTTAACTTGTATTCTTCTTGTATTGCGTGTGAAGTAGCTGTGACATAGCAATCTGTTTAAAGCAGCAATACTTTATATTTGTCTTCTGTCAATCTTTAGCAAATGATCTTTTGGCACTATGGTTTTAATGGGGCCTATAATATTGTCCCTTCAAGTTTTGTTTTACAATCTGTGTTTAAGTGACAATTGTTAATAAAATGGATTCTGCTGGTAGCTAAATTTGGTTCAAGTAGAGTTTAGTAACCCACATATGTGGATGTATTAAAATAAGTAGATTGATTTAAATTATGTTTTGTCTCTGTATTTTTTAGGATTTTAGTGTTTCAATATTAAAGTTTGTCTTCTGAAGACTGTAACAGCAGTAGAATTGCTCTGCTCTTGACAAATACAATGTAACATGTATTTCTATAGACTCTCCAGGAGCAGAAGTGGAACATTCTAAGTGAAAAAGTTTGGCTTTAGAATCTGATAATGGAATGGTAGCCTATTCTCTTAGCAAGGTGACAGGTTTCCCAGCTTTAAACATCTAGGGGAGCTCTGTTTAGAAAGGATGTTTAAATTTTAATCTCTTGGATTTGTTGACACTACATCAACAAAACTTAAAAAATATATTTTGTAGAATTCAATTATTAGTAAAAATACATTGTAAAGCCACATATAACTGGGGAATGGTCAATGGATTAGATTTGAAATGTGCATTTCCCAAGAGAAGGTAATTTACTTTGCTAAAACATTTTTTGCACAATTTACAATATCTTTAGAAATATCATTGTATCATTAGAAAAAATTCATCTTCCCAATGATGCATTTCACAAGAAGCAAATTAGTACAAGTCCTTATTTGGGAAAGGGTGACAAAAGAATAATCTGCCAGTATTGCTCATTCCTAATTGTATCTAGGAGTAAATAAACACTCTTATTTAAAGTACTATTGAATTTTGAGTAATTACTCAATAAATTCATATTATTAATAAAATTACACTTTGCAATACAGCCAACTCAGCACAAATGTAGTCAAAAGTACAAAATTATTTGAAAATATACCAAAAAATGAAATTAGTTATTACAATCTTAAGTTCCTTTTAACTTGTATAAACATAAACACCAATTATGTACTGTATATAACTAAAATTTTGGAAAACATACAAGATGAGAGGCTTTTTTAAAAAGACAAAACAAAACAATGCCTTTTGCCAAAACAAGTTCATTGACCTCTTGTTAATTATTGTTTTTCCTTTGAGGCACACTGAAAAACATATCAGTAGCAATTAGTTCTAAATTTAGGGCAGAACATTCTGCCAGATATTTTATTATATTACAAAAATGCTACTACTGTATTTTATAATAAAACCAAATTCTCAAATTTCTGATATGTTACATGTGATTGAACCAAAGTATCACTTTCTATAAGTTTATTGTGTATATAATATTTTTTAAAGTATTGAGTATTTAGGTCCAAGTGAGAAAGTGTAATAAAATAGATGATATTACACTGATCTCTTGTGAAAATCCACTTAGATGTTTGACAGGGAAACTAACTATCATAAGCTATAATTTACACATGATTCTTAAGGAATTATACAGAAAGATATGATTAGTGAATTGTTAGTTGGTGTATAGACCAACCAAGAATCAACTTACAAATGTTGATCAAATTTTAGCTTTTGGTATCAGTTGTTCCTGGAAAGAAGACTACAGTCTGTTGATAAAGCTTCCTCTTCCTGGAGGGGGATGGTATAATGAAATCTCTTAAGAAACAAGATTGGGTCAGAAGCTTAGAGATGCACTTTACTGTTTATAAGCCTGCTGTTACAATATTCTAAACACTGTGATCTTTCCAACGCGTTTTCTGTATTCTTTTCGTACTGTAGAAAATAAGTTGCCGTAAACTAGACTTTGTAGTATTTAAAGTAATGCTATTTATTGGCTTATTACTGCTCCACAACATGGTCCACTTAATCATGTAAAACCTGTGATAATCCTTTGCCTTAAAATAAAATCTAATGCTAAATAATTAAGAGTTCCACTTAATTTTAAGCTACTAATTAATTTTCCTTTTAAAGTTCACCACTGTGTCAAATAAAATATAATATAAATACTGTCGAGTGTTGCTGCTGATTTAGTGTTTGTGACAGTGTTTGTATCTTGATCCAGGACATGTGGCCTGCTGGGTTTTATAAATAGACATTAGCAATTCTTTTGGAGAAAGGGCCTGGTATCTCTCAGCTGTTGCCTGAACTCTCTCCTCAGCCCTTATAAATAGATTTTCCCATGTGGTGCACCAACCAAGGAAAACAGCCTATGTTGTTCTCCACCCCCTCCCCCCCATTCTTCATTCTTGTCTTGATCCCTTCAGAAATTTCACATAGAATTTGTGTTTATGTTCCTAAATAGAAAAAGGCTCTGTGATGCCTGAAAATTACAATCACCCAAGCAGGGAAGAGGATGTTATAATTATAAAAGTGTAATCCCTGTGTAGACAGGATAAAAGCAGAGTTTCAGAGAGGTTTCAGATTTGATCATGATGTGAAGGAGAGCGTTAAGTCCTTCTTGATGTCTAGAACATGGTTGAAAGTTCAGTAGGTAAAAAGTAATTGTGTTCCTCTTAGGATTGGCACAGCAACAAGCAGAGTTATGCCGTGGGCTACAAAACTGCTTCCTTATTAGGCCCTAGTCTTTGACCTGCCTGAGTTAGTCACACTTAAGAGAAGAATAAATTCTGTAGGCAGTTTTTCTGGGAGGGGAAGACTTTATTTAGCTCTTACCAATGATCTTTCCCCATTGCCAGCATTTTCACAGCCTTATAGTTGAAAGATGATGGGACAAGTCACAGTAAGAAATAAGAAAAATATTCATTATGATGATAGGTACATAACAATACACTGGAAAGTTGAAAAGAATCTGTGTGGCACATTTATTTTTAAATGACAGGAAATTGACCTTTTGAAGAAACTGGCGTTTCGTTGGCTCAGAAAAGAAAAACTGGGGTGAAAAGCATCCAGATCCCAATCTGGAACCCCTATTAGTTCCAAGTTTTCAAGGATGTTGTAGGTTTTCCAAAAGACAGCACCGAATGAGGGACTCTAGGACCCAGAGGTCCCGTGCCCAAGGCAGGCAGCTTGCTAGCTGGAGCCCTGGCAATGGTGGAACTCAAGGTACAGGTTCGGGGCCCGCCTGGAGACTGTCGCCTTTGAGACGCCACCAGCATTCTGGCGCGCGGGCTGCGCACAGTGCGTGTGGGCGTGTCCCAGAGGCCACGCTGCCCGCCCCACCCCAGCCAGGTCCTTTGCCCCTAGGCTCCGCTCCGGCGCTCGGGCTGCTCGGCGGGGCCCGCGTGCCCTCCGCGGGCTGCGCTGAGCGCGAGAGCAGTTCAGGGCCGGGAATGCCCGGAGCCCCTCAGCTAACCGCCGCCGCCGCCGCCGCCGCCGTCGCCGCCTCTCCTGTTTGGCCCCGGTGAAAACCGGTGACGCGGGGAGATGAAATTCCCAGCCTCTGTACTAGCGTCCGTGTTCCTGTTTGTAGCCGAGACGACGGCGGCGCTCTACCTGAGCAGCACGTACCTCTCGGGCGGGGACCGCATTTGGCAAGCGCTGACCCTGCTTTTCTCCCTGATGCCCTGCGCGCTGGTGCAGCTCACACTCCTCTTCGTGCACCGCGACCTCAGCCGTGATCGCCCACTAGTGCTGCTGTTGCACCTGCTCCAACTTGGGCCGCTCTTCAGGTGCGTGCTGAAGCCCAGAGCCAGCCCTAGGCCCCAGCCCCTTGGCTGGCTCCCCCATCTTCCCCAGAGAGGACAAGGGTGGAGGTGGAGGGGAGGGGAGGCTTTCTGGTTGGGACTGGTGGCTGGACCACAAGGCTGGGCCCATGGCAGGCCTGCCCTGCCCTCCCCCTCCTCTAGCTTCACCAATCTAGTCACAGGAATGGCTCAGGATCTATCATAAGGATCCTAAAGTTGGGGTGCCCTGCAGTGCTGTTCAGAGCCATTATATTACATGGGCCACCTCCACTTGAATTTGACCAATAACACTGGCAGTTGTTGGGTCTCATAAAACAGATGGCTTCCTCTGTGGTCAAGTGGATGAGCTCCAGCACGTTCGGCTTGTGCGGTCATAGACCGTTGCAAAGTGTGTTCTTAAACCATGGTTACAGCCAAAGCATACACTGGTCATTTATCAGACACGTGGGAGCTTACTGTGTGCATCAGGCACAGTTCTAAGTGCTTTGTAAATATTAATCTGTTTAATTCTTATACAGAATTCTAGAAACCCATGCACCGTTCCTTTCTCTTTGGGGCGTGAAAAACATTATGGAATGTATTTCTGGCAGTAGAAATGTCTACCAGACCTATCTATAAACACATAGTCACGAAAACCATAAATATAGTCTCTATAACGTAGACTATATAAACTTCGGTATAGGCCGGGAAGACACGATTGTGCTGTGTGTTAAGAAAAACTCTTGCTGGCATTTCTGGAAATTGATGTTTTAAAACAAAGCAAGTAGAAATATATGGTAACAAAGCCGACTTTGACTCATCTAAGGACCTTAAAGGGAATTTTAAATGTATGACTCTCCTATCTTTAATGTCTTTAGTAAAAAGCAAGACAAAGACAGATCTCTTTGGATTTAAAATATATTTAAAATACTTAAGTTTAGATATGGATGACAGAGGAGTTTGAACAGAGACAAACCTCAGTTGCCAGAAATGTAGCTAACCAGCAGCCTTTCCAACTAGGAACTCAACCTCACCCACACACACAAAGTCCAACAATAGTAAGATACCTTTTACAAAGCATTTCTATGAAATTTTATGTCTCAATATTAAAGACAACTATTCTAGCTGAAACTCATAATATTGACTTGTCGTTTATACAGTCACAGGAAACTTGGTAAACAAGTTTCCAATCCTGCAGACAATCCTAGAAGGCAGAGAAACAGGTATGCTGACAGCAGTGAGAAGTTGCTATTGATGTCTTGATAGGGAAGAATCAGAAAAATGCAAAACAAAGAGAGTGAGGGAAATTTACATAGCACTGCAACCTGGAGCCATTTAGAAAAGAGTCCATCTAACCAAGCAGGACTTATGGGCCTGAAGTAAATAAATAAATGTGAGCAAGGTACATGTCATCATTCCATGATTACCTCTGTGAAAAGAAAGTGGGGGATATGGGGAATTGACTTTTCTTTTTCTTTTTTTTTTTTTTTGGTGCCAATCCTGGGGCTTGAACTCAGGGCCTGGGCTTTTTTACTCAAGGGCATTTTTGCCCTGAGCTTTTTTGCTCAAGGCTAGCATTCTACCAATGGAGCCACAACTGGCTTTTTTTCCCCCCTAGATAAGAGTCTCACAGACTTTCCTGTTGGGACTGGCGTCAAATGGCCTCAGATCTCAACTCTCCTAAGTTGCTAGGATTATAGGAATGAGCCAGTGGCACTGGACTGGGAAATGACATTTCTTAAAAGCTACCTGTGAGCTCGTGCTGGTGGCTTATGAATGTAGCACTAGCTACTCAGGAGGCTGAGATCTTAGGATCTCTGTTCAGAGCTAGCCAGACAGGAAAGTCCATGAGACTCTTCAATTAATCGCAGAAAGAGCTGGAAGTAGTGCTATAGCTCAAGTGGTAGAGTGCTAGCCTTGAGCAAAAGGAGCTAAGAGACAGCACCTAGTCTCAGAGTTCAAGGCCCAGGACTGGCAAAAAAAAAAAAGCTACTTGTGCTACTGTTTGGCCCCAGTTACTTTACCACAAGTAAATGCAATTGTCCTCAGGATACCCTCCACACTGGGGATTAAACCTAGGGCCATGCTGAAACAGCACTCTATGGCTGAGATACACCCCTAGCCCTTGTCCCCATTTCCTAGATAAGGAAAGTGACGACTCAGAACATGTTCCCAAGACATCTTAAAAAATAAAATTGGATTATGTAGGTTCCCTGTGGTCTATAGAAGAAAAATATGGGTTATGCAGGATATTTTAACAGTATTTTCTTTTTAAACTGTCAAAGTTTATCCATTTAGGAAAATTTAAAATATTAAACACCACCTAAATAACCATCTGAATAAATGAGAATATTCTGTAATTGCTGTTATTTAAAATGTTTCTAAACATTGAGCAACCCAAAGCTAACAAAATAATATTATGTACAAAGACTGGATGGCAAGTATAACCCTGAATTCAAGGTAATGTATTAAGAGCAATAATTTCTAGATGGTAGAGTGTGATTTTAATATTCACAAAAACAGAAAAGTATATCATTTTTCTCCTTTGTTATATATACTTTTCTGTATTTTCCATAAAGCAAAAAATATTTTCACCTATTTAAGAAAAATAGTTTGATGCATTGAAGAGCTGCCTTTACAGTTATATAGAAGGTTTTAACACTATTAAAAAATCCATTTCCAAAAATTCTGAATGAGTCATTGTTTTCTCAGTAGAAGAACAAAATAACAAGCCATCTTCTTCCATCATTAAAGAGTCTGTCATTCTGATGCAGCTAATTTAATTCAGGGTGATATTGGACCCATGATCTTAGAACTGAGATATCAAATGTGGTTCAAAGTCAGCTTCCAGATGAAAAGAAAAACATTTTGTTATTATAGATTAGTGTGACTTAATACCTTACTGGATTTTTTCATCTTTACATTAATAGAATTATTTCCCCAAACAATACAAAGAAGAGTCACAGTGTTTCTCCTCTTTACCTCTTACCCTTGAACTTAGTGACATTTCTAAGTTGTTTGGGGATAGTTTAGCTCTGTTTAACGTTGGGTGGGCATTGGCCAAACTCCTATTCTTTCTAAGTAGATGCAATTTTGGAGTGTATTCAAGGTTGGGGTATAGCTCAGTAGTAGAACATTTGCCTAGCGTACTCAAGACCTGGAATTTGATCTCCAGCACTACAAAAAAAGCAAAATAACCTCTTGTTATACATTAGCATTTTATTTTATTGTATGTTGTATTTTAGCCTTATATTTAAATCTGTAGTTCATACAGTTCATACAGTTGTTTCTATATCAGGGCTAGATTTAAGTATGAACTATGGATAATGCCTGAATTTATTAATTTCAATTTTAAGGATAATCTCTGAATTATAATAGATATTCCAGAAAAAGAGGATGGCTATCTCTTACAGAAAAAAACCTAAAATATTTCTATTTATAATTATTTTACTTAATTTTCATAAATTTGAAGTAAATATAAATGAGTTATAAGGTTGAAGAAATCTTCCACTTATATTGCTAGTATCATGACAAAAATTACATAAAAATATCTGAATTTACAAAATACACTTTAAGAAGGTCCAAAAGTCTTTATAGACCATTTCAAAAGTATTCGTCAAATTATTTTTCTATAGTAAACTTTCAAAAGATATAACAGTATCCATTTGAAAAGCATTTATATTATTTGCAGAGTGCTTTTATATACTGTATTTAATTCATCCACAGTAAAACACTGTGAACTTTCATTATCTTACTTTTACAGTCCAGGAATTGAGGCTCAGAGAGATTAAGCGAACAGCTCTTCAAAGGTCTCTCACCATTTTATATTTAACAAGTTTGGTTCTAGTGTAGCTTCTCTGAGCATGTGTGCCATACAAAGATAACATAGCTTATAGGAAATCATAGTATTTCTTTGGGAAAAAAGTATTTTTATTAATGTCCTTGGTACAATGCATTATTTATGCTGGCACCCACTTGCATTGTTTTCAGCTATTCAAATGAGACTATATATATATATATATATATATATATATGTATATTTCAAATGAGATAAAGTATAAAAGAATGGATCAAATTATTGATAATAACCTGCATTAGGGGGTCACCAAACTGTGCCTCATTGTCAAGTGCCCCTACCACCTGTTTTCTCAAATTAAGTATTATTCAAAAACAGAGGCACTGTTGAAGCAGAGTTCAGCAAAAACAAAAAACAACAAACAACAACAAAAAAACATGGTCTGTAAAGTCTAAAATACATGTTCACTATAAACATTGTATGGATAAAGTTTCCTGATCCCTGGTCCATATGTTACTGAAAAACTACTGTGTGTGTGTGTGTGTGTGTGTGTGTGTGTGTGTGTGTGTGTGTGTGTGTGTGCTGGGCATAGAGCTTCACACTTATTAAGCAGATTAAAACTGAGCTGCATCTTAAGCCCATACTTGATGGAAACATTTAATTTGTGGCTTTTTTTGCAAGTACTTTGGCTTGAACTCAGAGACCCATATTCCATTTAGCTTTCTAGCTCACAGCTGGCACTCTACCACTTGAGCCATGCCTCCAGCCCAACTTTTTTGCTCATTGGAAGTGGAGCCTTGAGGATTTTCTTACACAGCTGGATTCAAACACCAATCTTCCAGGTCTTACCACCCTGAGTAGCTAAGATTACAGGTGGGAGCTGCCAGTGCCAGCTTAATTTGTAGCTTTTTAGATAACCTCTTAAACAACAAAACAATGAAACACAATCCCCTGAAACAGAATTAGAGTAGTTATGTAGATCTTGCAAAATTTAAGAATACAACAACAAAAAAGCACTTAGTAAATGTACCCTTTTTTTAGTTTCCTTAAACAGTAGTGTTAAAAGGACTTGCAGCTGTTCATAGATTTATTTATTACCTACTATGTATAAAATTATTAAGATAGGCACTACTGGATCATGCTTATAATCCTAGCTACTCAGTAGGCTGAGCTCTAGCTAGTCATAAGTTCAAGGCTAGCCTGGGCAGAAAAGTTGCTAGATTCCATCTCCAAAATAACCAGCCAAAAGCTGGACTGGAAGTACTGCTCAAGTGTTATAGTGGTAGCCTAGCTAGCACTCTCTCCCTGCCCTCAAACGCACAAAGACTAACCTATGTTATAACAAATGTATTACCTGGAAAATGCAGTAAATTCTGAGAGGCTCCATCTGGCCTTTAAGGCTACCTTTGTCATTAATTCTCTCTGGATCTTTTTTTCATTTCCATTGACTGATCACTGAAGTTTCATTTTGTCAACAATTCTATATGATTCCCATTTCACACAGTCCTCTCATCAGCAACAAGAGACTCTCACTCTTCTCCAAGCTATCATTTCATTCCTCCTGTTTTTAGCATGCACTAGTGTTTCATTTGTTTGTTTTGTTCTTTGCAAAGTCTAAGCTTGATTTTATTATGTAATTACAGCATATTTGTTGTTGAATTTACAGAAGAGCAGAGAACATTTGCACAATGAAGACAATGAAACTAACATTTCTACAGTAATATACTTATAAACTGCCTCTTAGGGAAAATGAGCCCTAGTTTTGTGTTTAATGATTTCCATAATGTATTTATCCCCACCAAGTCTGATCAAGCTATCACCCTGGCTTACAAAGTTTGTGTTTTAACAGTAGGCTGATTTGAGTAAGTATGGGCCAGTTCTATCATTCTACTGTTTACTTATGAGTTGTGTAATTAGTGTGTTTATATATACATATATATGATTACACAAATGATAAACTTTTCTCTATTCCATTGTACGGTGTTTCTTTCACTTATCAAATATGGCAAAAACATTTCTAGTTTTGGGCTGGGAAGGTGGCTCAGTGATAGAGTGCTTGCCTTGCATGCATGAGGCCCTGGGTTCGATTCCTCAGCACCACATAAGCAGAAAAAGCTGGAAGTGGCACTGTGGCTCAAGTGGCAGAGCGCTAGTCTTTAGCTGAAGAGCTGAGGGACAGCGCCCAGGCTCAGAGATCAGGCCCCACCACCAACAAAAATAAATTCTAGTTTGGTTTGTTCATTTATTTATTTTGTGCTGAGGATCAAACCTAGGCCTCATGCATGCTTGGCAGGTACTCTTACTGATGAGATATATCCCCTACCCAATAATTTCTATATTAGTGGACACATTTCTTTATTATTACTATTTCTTTTCCATTATTTCTTTATTTTTTTTTGTTTGTTTTTGGGTCCGGTCGTGGGGCCTGAATTCTGGGCCTGGGCGCTATCCCTCAGCTCTTCAGCTCAAGGCTAGTGCTCTACCACTTGAGCCACAGCGCCACTTCCGGCTTTTTTCTTTTTGCTTATGTGGTGCTGAGGAATTGAACCTAGGGCCTCAGGCATGCAAGGCAAGTGCTCTACCACTGAGCCACCTTCCCAGCCCTTCATTATTTTTAAGTAATTGTCCAAAAGGGTTTCAATTCAACATGTCAGTTTATGAGTACAATTCATCTTTATCAGTCACTTCTGTCATCATTCTTCTTCATCTCTCCTAACCACACCCATCACCTCAATTTTTCTAGTTCCATTTTCACACACACACACACACACACACACACACACACACACACACACACACTCCTTTCTTCTGGGAGCAAATGAACAAAGGCAATAACACAAAATAGGTCCACTTTATGCCCATGTAATTGTAAGCCCTCTGTATGGTATTTTCACAATAAAAAAAATAGGTCCACTTTGTCCTCACTAAAAAGGTTCTGGCTTTTTCTTTATTACATCATGATTTTGTTTTATTATGACAAATCATAAATGTATAGTTACCTCAGGGCAAGGGTATAAAGTTAACAAGAGACCATAAAGTAGATGAATCCATATAAGCTTCTAGTAGCATTATAAGGTTGCTGTGCAAGTACATGGTTCAGGAAATGTCCCTTCAACACTTTTTTTTGGTTATGAGTCATGGCGGGGGCGGGGGAGGGGGGGAGGTAGGGAAGGGGAGGGAGGTTGAACTCAGGGCCTGGGTGCTGTTCCTGAGCCTCTTTGTCTCAAGGCTAGTGCTCTACCACTTGAGCCACAGGGCCACTTCTGGTTTTTGAGTGGTTAAATGGAGATAAGAGTCTCACAGAAACTTTTCTGCCTGGTCTGGCTTTGAACCATGATCCTCAGATCTCAGCCTTCTGAGTAGCTAGGATTATAGGCTGAACCACCAGCACCCAGCTTCTTCAACACTTTTTAAATCTGAAGCTTGAACACTTTTGTTACTCCAAGAGAAACCCATTTGTTCACAGCCTTTTATTCTGAAAATTTTCAGTCATACAGGGAAAAACACCTTTAAAAGAATACTACAATGATGGCTGGGGATCTTGCTCAAATGGTAGAGTGCTTGCCTAGCACATGTGAGGCCAGGACTGCAAAAATAAATAATTAAATATAAATATAAATCATTAAAAATAAATAAATAATGTGCAGTGAACACCAAAGTACCTACCACCTTGATTTTACAGAGATCATTTTGTTTCATACTTCTGTCCATCAACTTGTATGTACATGTGCCTAATTCAAAGTGAATCACGGGCATCTGCATCCCATCAGCATCAATACCATTACCCAGAGCAGAAATCCAAATTTAAAAATCAGCAGTTCTTTTGTTCTAGAGAGGTCCTAGGGCAAGCTTGTAATTCCATAAGTAAATCTGTCTGGGAAGCCCTCAGGTCAAGTATATATGCTAGAATTTATCCCTGCCTGTCCTTTAAGGGCTTCTAAGGACAAACTGGCAGGTGATGTTTTGTGATCATTCAGTGAAATCCAGGTGGCAAGCTTCCCTGTGCTGGACATTTGCCTAACCATGTCTTCTCCTTTAACTTAGGGTGGTTTGGGACTTTTATTGTGTGTGGAACATTCTCTCTCTCTCTCTCTCTCTCTCTCTCTCTCTCTCTCTCTCTGCCTCCCTCCCTGTCTCCCTCTGTCCCTCTCTCCCTCTGTCTCTCTCTTTCTCTCTCTCTTCCTCCCATCCCCCCTCTCTCCTCTTTCTGGGTATTAGTATTATTGCCATCTTCACAGCAACATAGTTATAACTACCATTTTTTGCCGGGCGCTGGTGGCTCACGCCTGTAATCCTAGCTACTCAGGAGGCTGAGATCTGAGGATCGTGGTTCAAAGCCAGCCCGGGCAGGAAAGACCGTGAGACTCCTATCTCCAATAAACCACCAGAAAACCGGAAGTGGCGCTCTAGCTCAAGTGGTAGAGCGCTCGCCTTGAGCTGAAGAGCTGAGGGACAACGCCAAGGCCCAGAGTTCAAGCCCCATGACCGACAAAAAAAAAAAAGAAATAACTACCATTTTTTGCTTTATAATTGAAGGAAAGAGCTCAGAAGGTAAGTTATTTGCCCAGAGCTGCACAGTATGTGTCCACAAGGAAAATTGAGCATTTTTTTCTGTGCTTCTGGAGCCTGAACCAATTCCCATTCTCTAGTAGGTTTTCTTGTCCCTGTGGTCTTCAGTATCATCTCTCTATTTGATTCATGCTGAATTCCCATTGGTCCCCTGGATGACCTGAAGAATACTGAATGCTTAGAACTTAGAGGGTTGACTGTAGTCCAGAATAGTCAAGACAAGGCTTTTTGAGTCAGGCTAAGTAGAAACTGGATGACTGAGCAAAGACAGACTCTTGCTTGTCTCTTAATTACTATGACTTGCTGATTTGTTAACAGGTGTTTTGAAGTCTTCTGCCTCTACTGTCAGTCAGGCCACAATGAAGAGCCTTATGTCAGCATCACCAAGAAGAGGCAAATGCCAAAAAATGGCTTATCGGAAGAGATCGAAAAGGAGGTGGGCCAGGCAGAAGGCAAGCTATTCACCCACCGCTCAGCATTCAGTCGGGCCTCAGTGATTCAGGCTTTCCTTGGCTCTGCCCCACAACTCACCCTGCAATTGTATATAAGCGTCATACAGCAGAAACTCCATACTGGAAGATGTATGTATATATTTTTTTGAACAAATAAGTTTCTTGCCTGTATTTGGAGCTCAAAGTAGAAAGCAAAACACAGAAGCATTTGTTTCAAGTGAAATTTGTTCCTATGTGTATTCAATATTTAGTCTCTGTGTTATAGTCACTAAGCCTAAAACTTAATGATAACAGGTTTGGGTTTTTTTTTGCTTATAATTCTGCATTTTGGGCATGGCTTTAAAAAGCTCCAACCCATTTGAACTAGTCTTGATTACCAATTTAAGGGCAGCTTCTAGTTAATTCAAGTTTCCCCCCAAACCTCTATCTACATTGGACATAGTGAAAAACCTTCATCTAAAAAGGAGGAAAAAACTCTCCTAAATATAAGTGTTAGGTATAGATGAATACTAGATAAGGTACTCTTGTAATTTGTACTACAGATATGCAAAATTATTTAAAAGGCCGAATTTGAAAAACATGGCTGTTTTAGGGTTGTAGTAACAGAGTGGAATACTATATAACAGATACTATATAAACAGATACTATATAACCCACAAAGCCAACAATATTTAATATCTAATTCCTTATAAAAAAGTTTACCAATCCTCGTTATTGTTTCTCTGACAGAATTCCATTCAGAAAATAAAATCTATTTTGTAAAATATCACTATCACAAGAGATTCTGTGAGATATCTCCCGAAACTTGGAAAAATATAGTCTATGCGTGTTAAGTAATAGACCTCTAAACAATAAGTAGCCATGATCTTGTTATATAGACACATGGCTGCTGTTTGTGCAGGTCTTGATCAACTCTAATCACTGCCCTAATGTATCTGATCTCCTCACCTAGGAAGGGGCAAGGCCTTCATAAATACATATGAGCTAGAGTGCATCCATAGAGGCAAATGTTGTGTTTAGAACATGTTTTAAGATTGTATTTGGTACGTGGTACAAACATCTGATGGCAGGATTAAACAACTCAGAGCTTATTTTGACCATCTAGCAGGAAATTGAGGGCTCACAGTTGCTGGCATTATTTCAAATTTGTGTTCCTGCACATTGGCTGGCCTTTTGCTTGAGTTGTTACTGCAGCTCCAATCATCAGAGCTGCATTCAAGGAAGGGATAGGGACTGAAGTGGGAAGAGCAGATGTTCTTCTCCTTTTATTATTAAGTATACATTTTCTTACTAGAAATGTCCTTATTAGACTTAACTTTTGTTCTCATTAGCCAAAAATGATCACATGGTCACCAAGCTGCAAGGAATGCTTGGATAGCTAGACATAAAAAAGACTGTCACCCATGTGTTAGATCAGTATTCCTCAAACTTCTCTGATGGTAATTAGAGTTGCCTAGGGCCTTGTTATATAGAAAAATTTACAAGACTCATGTCTGGAAATTGTGATTTATTGGATATGAGATGGGGATGCAGAGTATATCTTTTCATTTTATTTCTGTTTTATTATATAAACAAGGAATGCCAATCATTTTGTTATCAGCAACGTTGGGGAACATTGAATTAGAGTAGCTATTCCCTGCTTGGAGTTGTCACCTAGAACAAAACTGAGTTTTCTTAAAAGGCATTTGTAGGAATGATGATTGATTAGGTACCTAACAGTTGTCTGTCTTGCAGTCTAAATGCAGGCTAGACCAACAAAACTGTCTGTCTTCTTGATAGGCAAAATTTATAAAGCCCATCAGAATGTGACCCTATTCAGAATTCAAATTCTGTAACCCTCAACTCTTAAATTGCACTTATTGAACAGCACTAATAAATTTAGCCTTGGGGACAAAAAAAAAGGTGGAGCCAGGGTCACTGACCAGTTTTTTTTAATGGTAATATGATTTATATAATGAAACATTCACTGTTTAAGTATAAATTCATAGCTTCTAGTATGCTCAGTGTTGTAAATATACCATCATCATCACTGTTCAATTTTAGAACATTTTCATTATGCCCCAAAGAAATCTCTTACCCATTATTAGTCATTCTTTATTTCCCCTGCTTCTAACTCCTGGCAACTACAAATATACATTCTGTCAATGGATTGTCCTATTGTATATATTTCATATAAATAGTATCTTGCACTTTTGGAAAGTTTTCTTTCTTATAGTCAACAAAAAATGAACAATGTGTTGATAAGCTTCAGTGTTGAATGAGTTTGTCGACTCTGAGGTTCCTTGAGTTGAATCAGTTTTCAGTATGGCCTTGGTCGTCACTGAACTCATCAAATCCAGTGAAGCTGTGTAAAAATGAAGTCCAGAAGACATTGGAGGTACTCTGCACTAGGAAGTATCTTGGAGCCTGCTATTTAGCCTACCTGGACCTCAGAGTGTCCTCCCTTTTCTCGTTCACTGTGGTTGGAACATTGGTAGTAGTTACAACTGTTTTACAGATGCTTCCTTTGTACAGGCACACTAATGGACATCATAAGCATTTCTTCCTACTAGAAAGAGTAGAGGAGCCAAGATTTAAGGTTAGATTTGTATGACATCATTCAGGGATACAATGAGGATTTATTGAGTATTCTCTATGTTGAAGACTCTGGGATGGCCTATGGGAGATAAAGTAGTTAATAAGGTAGACAAGTCTCTATTGTCTTAAAATAGAAGAGAGAGACATGAAGACATAAATATTAATAAAATGTTCATGTTATTTCTGATAAATCCTTCAAAGTGTAAGTTGGGGAGCCTCTGTAAGGGGGATATTGGGGCAATCTAACCAAGCCTGGAAGGTGAGGCAAAGATTCCCAGAATATAGACTCAAAACTGGCCCAGGAGGCAGGAAAGCTCGGTGAAGGAAAAATAGAACAAAGTGTTCTAGGATTTTAAGCCTTATTCTAGGTGTATTGGAAGGCACTGGTAAGTTTTAGGCAGCACAAAGTTTTAGGCAGCTTGTTTCATTTTAGAAATTAATTGTTCTGGAAAAAAGATTAGAAATGTGAGGGGAGAAGTAGGGAGGTCAATAACTTGTCTGCTACAGTTGCTCAGGTTACAGTGGTAATGGCCTGGACTGGAATGGTCAAATGGATTACTGAGGAATACTATGACTGAGGAGGAGTAATGGCTTTGCTAATTAACTGGATAGGAAAGTGAAGGAAAGAGTGGTTCCTAGGTCCCAGACATGAGCAGCTATAGCCACATACTGATATATTTGTACTGGTACAGTATTCTGGAGGAGAAGGTTTGTGTATTGTTGTTTTGTTATTTGCTTTCAAATTTATATATTAAAAAAAGATTTAAAAGATTTTTTTTGTCCTGTCGTGGGGCCTTGAACTCGGGGCCTGGGCGCTGTCCCTCAGCTCTTCAGCTCAAGGCTAGTGCTCTACCACTTGAGCCACAGTGCCACTTCCGGCTTTTTCCTTTTTGCTTATGTGGTGCTGAGGACTCGAACCCAGGGCCTCATGCATGCAAGGCAAGCACTCTACCACTGAGCCACCTTCCCTGCCCAAGATTTAAAAGATTTTTAAAGATTCTTTTTAGCTCCTGAGAGAAGATGTAGTTGTTAAAACTAGTTCAAAGTTGATTGTATAGTATAAACACAGGAATATTCACAGTAGATATTGAAATGAATGCATAAATGGAGATAAAACTGATTTTATTACATCACGAAAAGGTGAACAACTGAACTTCTATTGTAGAAGACATTGAATATATCTATCCATGATGTACAAGCTACAAAGGGATATCAAAGAGCTCATAAGCAGTGTCAGGCTACAACCAGAGTACCCACACCTGGAATGGTGTCTGGGCGACAACAGTCTTTCCATTAAGCATGTTCTTTTTAAGAAAAAAAAAGGTAGAATGTCAAACTTACGTGGAAAGTTAGTTTCCTTAAAAGGAGGATCCAATCTTGAGGCTGAATAGATTTGAGTCACAGACATTTCTAGGCAAGGTCTAACTAAGGGTCAGTGGAGACTGATAACAACATGATCCAAGTTGTCATAAAAGCAGCTGATCATTGAAGGGCTGGAGCATGATATATAGTTTACTGGTGGATGTAAAGATGGGATCTTAACAGGCCCAGATTGGTGGGAAAATCAATTAGGGATGATGAGGAAAACCTAGTAAGACCATGGAAGGAGGCAAAGAGCTCTATAAAAGCTTAGCTGTAGTTAGCCATGTGGACTAGCGCTTATGAGAGGGTAACTACTGCTGGTGAGGAAGCTCCTACTATATCTGTTTTCTTGGCTGACATTTTCAAGTATATGACTTCTAACATCCTGGAGCTGGCTGGCAAGTAGATCCTGGCAGGATGTGTATCACCCAAGAACATTTGAGGAGTTTGTAAAAACCCAGAAACAACTAGTCACTTTCTTCCAAGATGATATCAAATTTCTAGATGGTGAGATGTCCAACTCACATGGTAAGATATTCTATTATAAGATGTTTCTTCTTATAAAAAGTAGTATCTGGGGGGCTGGGAAGGTGGCTCAGTGGTAGAGTGCTTGCCTTGCATGCATGAGGCCCTGGGTTCGATTCCTCAGCACCACATAAGCAGAGAAAGCCGAAAGTGGGGCTGAGGCTCAATTGGTAGAGCGCTAGTCTACAGCTAAAGAGCTGAGGGACAGCGCCCAGGCCCAGAGTTCAGGCCCCACGACCGACCAAAAAAAAAAAAAAAAAGTAATATCTGGGTCTCAAGACTGGTGGGATTTCAACAGCCTCAACCATCCTCTGAAATTCACACCAGCCATGCTTATTAAGTGTTTAAACCAATGTCAGCAGTTCTGAATCATCTCAGTTCATGACTTCGAGTTGGAAGTAGTAGGTTGGAGATGGAGAAGCTGTGTTCAGCAGGGGACATTTGAATCAGTGATTTCAGGGGAACAACTTGCATGGGGACCTCAGAAGGCCAGGAAGGTGGCTAGGAGCCTCTAAAATATGCTGGTACTAAAGGAGGCTGTACTCAAGGCTGCTCCCTTAAGTCTAGGCCTCTGATTTGCTACTATCCTCACGCCTCTCTATAGGGTCCTGTATATGACTCATTTCATTCATTTATATTAATTGTCTGACTAGTACAGTACTTGA